TGTCAACCTTATCTGACTCGGCTGCAAGAGGTGGGCAGTGGTGACTCGGGGTGGTGGGGGGTGCTGGCTGCAGCCTCTCTTGGCCATAGCGCAGCAGCTCTTTGGGCAGAACATAGCTCCTAGGAGGCCTAGGCCTGGGCTGAGGAATCAACTAGGGATCTTGTCAAATGGTGGCCTTGATTTCTAAGGTCTGGGGCCTAAGTGTCTGCGTTTCCTATAAGCTCCCAGGTGCTTGTGGTGCTGCTGGTTCAGAGCCATGCTTGAACAGTGAGGGCGGATAACTGGGAGTCGGGGGCTAAGGACTCTCCAGGCTTTAGGTATGTCCCTAAGGAGCTGGGCTGGGACCTCCGGTGTCCCTTCAGGCTCTGACAACATGCATTTCCAAGACCACATGTTAGTGGGCGGCCTGAGTGCTGAATTCGTCCACTCAGCTGTTCCTCTGGGTGCTGTCTCGGGTGGGCAGGAAAAAGTGTCTGCCTTCAGTGGTGATGTGTAATAAGGACAGTTACCCTGAGACCCCATCACTGAGACCTCAGCCCCGACGAATGGCAGAATCTGGCCCCGAGATATTTTTGAGGCCTGTGGAAGCCTGGGTTAAGAGAAAGTGCAGGGATGAGAGACATTTGTTGATTTAGCAAACATATCCACCCAGGATCTCTCGGGTGTTGAAGCTCCGATGAATCCCTTTGTCGGAGCCCCGTATAGTGCCAGAGCTGGGGGTTCTGCAGGGACCTGGCTCACGGCAGGAGGTTATCGTCCCTGCAGGAAAGCAGACACCTCGCAGAGACTCATGTCACAAGCAGACACCTCACAGAGACTCAGATCGAATTAGGGGCGCCGTCCCTGCCCCCGCCCCCCCAGCAGGGGAGGCCTGTCAGATCAGTCAGGTGCCCAACCGAGGGCTCCTGGAACTCAGGCCTCCCACTGCAGCTAAACACTGAGCTTTGTACCCCAGGAAGCCTCTCCCTCTCTCTCTCAGGGCTGGGTTCCTGTCAAGGAGACAGAGAAAGTTTCCATTGTGCGTGTGCGTGTGCGTGTGTGTGTGTGTGTGTGTGTGTGTGTGCCGCCCACGTGGACGTGCCCTATTATCTTTTCCCTTTTGTAGAAAATCAGGTCAGTGGTTTGACTGCTGTCGCTAACCGCACGGCGCAGTGGGGAAGCAGCCCGAGCTGCCGCGGCCTCAGCGAGCGCTGACAGATGAGGGCAGGAGGGTGAGGGCTGGGGTCTGGGGCCATCAGGCCCCCCATTGCGTGGGTCTCCACGCCACGGGTTCCCTGGAAAGCAGCCGCCGACCTGCGGACAGGAAGTCGCCGGCCACATCCCTGCTTCCCTGTCAGTGTTGCTCTCCTACTCCTGACGGCCTCGGCCACCTGCCAGGTCTGAAGCCTCCCCGGTGGACGCTGTTGAGTCATCAGGAATGGGGTCCGAGTGGCCTGGCTTGTGGCTGGGGGCTCCGCAGGGGTGGGTGGGAAGTGTGGGGCCTGAGGTTAAGCCGGGTGGGGTGGAACTCTCCCCGCAGGTAATAATAACAACAACAACAAGGGCTCTGGGCGCGGAGCACTTTCACACCAGTTTCGTCACCTCGCCCACAACACATCCTTGGAAGGGGAGAGAGTGGGTGATATTGTTATGCCCCAGGCTGCTGGTGAGGATGCTCAGAGTGAGAGTGAGGTCAAGAGCCTAGTTCAAAGGCATCAAGCTACCCTGGGGGCCCCGAGAGAGAACTTTCCCCGTTGCCCTTGCAGGTGGTAGGAGGCAGAGCACAGCCATCCATCCGAGCCGGCCAGGCTGGGCTCTCTTGCAGGCTGCGGCCAAAGCGCTGGTCAGAACTGCTGTCATCTCAGGGCTCGACTGGGGCAGGACCTGCCTCCCCAGGCCCGAGGTCTGAATGGGATGGGGGACAGAGAGCAGAGTATCTTCCAGGAAGGGCAGCCCCCCCCCATCCTGCACAAGTTAACCGTTGCCTTGTCTACTGATCTGCCCCACTCTCCTGCTCCCCAGGCCCTCCTTCTCTGCTCTGCTTTTGCCTCTGTGGCTGTTTCCTCAGAGGCTCAAACAATAGAGGCTGATGATCCAACTGCTAAGAGCACAACCTCCCCTCCCCCTGCAGCCAGAAATCATCTGTTACTGATCGCTGGGGCGCAGGCTGCCAGACTGAGACCTTTCTCTTCCCTCCTACTTCTTACTGGAAATGAGTCCCCCCCCCAACCCCCTATCCTGCCCTGGGCCTCCCTTGGGAAGGTTCAAGGACTCATCTCTGGCTTTGCCTGCTCTGGGAGGCCCTCTGCAGTGGGGTGGTGGGTGGGGGACTGGCGCCCACGGCCTCTGGAGGCCCTTCTGGCGGAGGGGGGAGACTTGTCATGACCTTTCGGGGTCAGCTCAGCTGCCCTGCACTGGATGCAAACTTGGAGGAGCAGCTCACCATGAGGTTACGATGCTGACGCTGCACAGACCGTGCTGGAAATTACAGAGTGCCTTAGAGGGAGAAACACACGGGGGTTTCAGTTCCCATGGAAACGGCATCTATTTGCAGAGGAGCCCTTGTGTGTCAGTGCTGGATGGTTCTAACCTGGTGCTTGGGTGGGGCGGAGGTGAGTGTTGGAGGTCAGGATCATCTGTTTACTGCCTGGGACTCTCCCTGGATGGACGGCAAGTCTGAAAGGGCGCCCTTACCTTTGGCCTTGACCAACACTCTTCCCACAGTTGGGGCCCATCGGCCCCTGGGCATATCTCTGCAATGCAGGGGTTTTTGGGTAGATTTAAAACTTATGAGTCAAAGGTGTGGGAAGACCCCACATTTGACATTTACACATTGATTCCACAAATGTTTTTGACCTATTCTGTGCCAGGCACTGTGCTAGGGCAACCAAGTAGGAGTTGGTATGTACCCGCTAAGTTTGGTGGTTGAGGCCTCCTTTCCTGGAAGGAACTGTGGTCAGAAAGAGGCACAGCGGGGACCTGTGGGGACCACAAGATATCGGCGCACACAGGTCAGTGATGCCACTCCCCTCACTCTGCAGCCAAATTGAGTGACTTCTGTCGTCCTGGGTCGTGGGACCTAACTCCTACATCTCTGGGGGAAAAATTACCCTTAAATGGTTCAGGGAGGCACTCACGCCTTGAGAATGATTGTCATGGGGAGAGTGTTTATCTGTGCCCTCCCCAAAGACTGATGTCTAGGCTGGAGGCCTTCTTGTCTAGTCACCACCAAGACGAGGCCCTTGTGTTAATTTCCCAGTTTTGCATCATTAAACGAACCAATTAAAAAAAAGAGTTTTTATTTTCATATCAATTTGGAGCCACAAAAGAGCTCCTACATCCACTATCTCCTTCAGTGTGATTCTCCCAACAGCATTAGGGAAGTTGTGAGGACACCATGGCGCCCATTTTCAGATAGGGAAACTGAGCCTTGGGAGGAGAGGGGACTTGTTGGGGGTGGCCCAGAGGGTTAATGGTGAAGCTGGTATGGGAATTGGGTGCCAGATGCTTTGCTTTGCTCCCTCCTCCCTGTCGAGGGGGCCTCTAATGCCAGACCCCTACTCTGGCTGTCTTCCGACCCGCCTTGGGGGTGGGAGCTTTCCATGTGCTGGAGAGACAGGGTGGTGGGGAAGGACCACTCTGCCTCTGGTCTCATAGGGGCTGCAGTAGATTCAGAAGATCGCAGGCCCACGAGACTCTGCTGCTCACCCATGTCATCATCGCCTCCATTTCCTTCTCAGTAAATCAGGGAGTGTAGGGGGAGGCAGGATTCTGAATTCCAGTGAAATCAAGGTTCTTGTGGGTGACCACGTGGGTGGCTTTTCCTCTCTCTCCCCTTGGGTGGCTGTAAAGGAGACAGGGCAGGATGGCACGGCAGACTCCCCTTAGAGCTGATCTATGTCCCGATTAACTCCTTAGTGTCTGGTACCACCTAACAGATTGTTGGGCCCGCGGTGAAGCGGCAGAGCCTGGAACAGTTTTAAATAGGGAAGATTAGTTTTGAGGGCAGAAAGGAGAAGAGGAAGAAAAAGTTTCAGGCCTGGGGGTCCTCTTGGCCTGCGAGGGGCGATGAGTGAGATCAAAAGGAGCCTTGGATTCCTGATGGTCCCTGAGGGGATGGCGGGCGATGGACTGTGTCCCCCCGTCTGACATCGGCAACTGGACAGGAAGGGAGGGGTCGGGCCTTGCAAGGCCTGACAAGGAGACAAGATGTCTATCCCCGGGGAGAAGTGAGGCCATAGTGTCCATGCGTACCTACAACCCTGCAATGGGGACACGAGGAGGGGCTGAGGCTGGGAAGTTAGGTGCCCAGCTGCCCAAGGCCCTGTAGCTAGTAAGAAGCAGGGGTGGTGGGGAGGGTCTAGCTCAGCAGCAGAGCGCATGCCTAGCACACACAAGGTCCTGGGGATTGACCCCTCATTAAAAATAAATAAACCTAATTACCTCCGCCTCCTCCAAACAAGACAATGGAAGAAGCAGAGGTGGAGAAGTCTGCCTCTTTCTTTGGGGCCGGTGTTTTTGGGGAAGGACAGAGTTTGGTCACAGCTGCTGGTCCCAGGCCAATGAGCGAAGCCACCAGCTGGAGGTGTTGGGGATGTTGTGGGGGTGGCTAGAAGGAAAGAGTCTGTTTTCCGTGGTGCTTTGTCTGCTGTCCCCAGCGTTAAGGTGATCGAACTGTGCCCACTGGCTGTGGGTGAGAGTGTGTGTGAGTGTCACTCGTGAGTGTCCACAGCCCCCTGGCTCACGTGTGTGCCCCACAGTGCGTGTGCATGAGGGGTGAGGGGACTCTTGCTGTACGTGGAGGTGTGTGCACATGTCTGGGCTTCCGCGTGTGTGTGCAGTGTGTGTACTCTCTGACAGAAATGTCTGTGTGCTGCTTAAACACTTGGTGAACGCATGTACTTGTGAACGCATCCACACCAGCGGGACCGGCCACCGAACTTGCAAGACCCAGCCCAAAATGAGAATGCTGGGGCTCTTGCTCAAAATTTATTGAGATTTTCAAGACAGGGGTGGGGGTGGGGGGTATAGCTCAGCGGTAGAATGCGTGCTTGGTGTGCACGAGGTCCAGGGTTCAATCCCCAGGGCCTCCATTAAGGGAGGGGGAAAAAAAGAATTTCAAGGTGGAGACAGCTGAGCATTAAATCAGGTGTGGGCCCTTCTGGGTGCAAGCCTGTGTGACTGCACACGTCTCCATGGAGCCAGCTGTGCATATGAGTGAGTGGGCTGCGTGCATGTGTGTGTCTCGGGGGCGGGGGGCTGGGCATGAAATCTGAGTTCTTTCTTCACGACCCCCAGGCCAGGCCGCCCCCCCCCCCGCAGCTGCTGGTGTCTCTCAAAAGAAAGGTGTGTTTTATTTTTGGCGCCTTGGCCGCCTGCTCCCAGAGTGCCCTGGGAGGCTTTTGTTTTACTGCCTTTGTTGGATGGGTGACAGGCACTTCCTTCACCTGCTGCCCCACCAGAAACCACAGCGGGGGGTGGGGCGGCTTCCTCGGCCCCTCACCCACTCACTCTGTGCCTCATTTAGGCATCAACAGGCCTGAAGCCCTGCCGGGCTAACCCCACCCAGACAAGGTACCTTTGGCACATCAGAGCTGGAAGAGATGGCAGAAATCACGGCTCCCTAGGCTCACAGCTGAGATGGAGGCCCAGAGAGGGGAGGCAACCTGTCCTTGTGGCCCAGAGAGCCTGGGGCGGAGCCAGGACACCTGCCTCCTGAGCATACAGCCCTGCAGGCTTGGCCTTTGGAGGAAGCCCTCGGGGGTGGGGGTGGGGGGAAACAGGGCCTGGAGGAGACAAGGGAGACCGAGGTCTCAGGAAGCAGCAAAAACCTGGCTGCCCGCTTAAGGGGTTACATCCCGGGGGGCAGATGGGGCTTTGTCTTTGTTATTTGATTCTCCGTCCTCCCAGGTTGGAGCTCCACATCCAGTGGGTTTTAAGAAATGTTGGCTGTACCTAGCACAATGGCTGGTACAAAGCAGGGGCTCTCTCTATATTTAGTAGTGAATAAACAGCTATTTAGTTGACCTGGGTAGTGGAGTGGCCAGAACGTGGGCTTTGGGGGCCAGCTGGAACTGGCCGAAATCACTCAGTAGCTTTATCACGTAGTACTTGTGTGACTTTGATAAAGTTACTTAACCTCTCTGAGCCTCAGTTGCTTCTGTAAAATGGGACTCTAGGAGGGTTGTTGTGAGGATTAAATGGGATGAGAAATGATGCTTAGTACAGTGTGTTGCACATGATAAAATCCTAATAAAGTTTCAGTGATTCTTGCTAGCTGTGTTATCTCGGGTAAGTTACACAATCTCTCTAAACATCATGTGGTCAGAAGAATCCAGCAGAAGGTGGTACACCTAGCGCAGTCCTGGCACATCACGAACCCTCAGTAAGTGCGAGCCTGTCTCCCCTCCTAGATTAGGCCCTCCACCCCTTTCTCGGGGTCTCTTTCACCCTGAGGCTCTGTGTTTCCTGTAGTCCCGTCCAGGACTCTCCCCCTCCACCCGCTGCCACCCAGCTCTGTCTGACTCTCCCAGGGATGAAAGCTCACAAACGCTCAGTGATCTAGGGCCTCCCCGTCTGTGGGGGTAGGTGGGCAACAGTGGGGGTGGGGTAACTAAGACAGAGGCTGGGGGCAGAGCAGGTGTAGTTCTCGGACGAACATCCAAGTTCTGCCTTTGACAAGGGATTGGAGGATTCTAAGTGGGTCTAGGCTTGTGTCTTGCTCTGGAAGGTGCAGGCAGAAGGATGCGAATGTGAACCTCCCAGGCCCTGTCCTTCCTCTGCTCCACTTTCCCTGGACTCCTGGGTCCAGAGGTTGCCAGTAGCACCCCTTGGCAGGTGAACGTCCCTGAGATGGAGGTGATCAGAGCTGGCGTGTGGTGGAGAGAGGGGTGAGTGCAGACGCAATGCCGGTTTCTGGGGAGTCAGCTGTCTGGAAGGACACCAAAGCTTCCGGGCAAGGGGCAGAGCTGGGGCCGCTGTGGGTGACCACGCCCTCCCACCCCCCACCCCAGCCCCAGGAAGAAGAATGCACCGCTTAGCATTTGCATGTGATCATGTTCCTCCCCAGCGCTGAATGCAGTCTGCATAAACCATACAAGATAAATGCGCACACGTTCCCAGGACTCTTTTTTTAAACATTGGGAAAGAGTTTGGGGGCATTTCATCGGCAGCATCTGTTGAACTTCACAGTGTCAGATATTTACTTAGAGCAGTGATAAAACTCTTCTGTCTTAAGCCAGCTCTGACACAGGCACAAGGGCACTCTGGGGCAAGGCGTGTTTCCTCACCTGCCCTCTTACCCCCAGGATGTCTGACCTCGGGTCCCACCGCGCCGAGAAGGAATGGGGACTGTCAGAGCCAGGCAAAGCCCATCCCTGCCCGGCCCTGCAGGAGATGTTTATTTATCCAGAGATGAGAACCTGGAGGCCAAACTGTTTCGTGGGTACTGTGACACATAGAACAGCCCGGCGAGCGGATTTCTTGGAGCTGGTGAACCAAAGATAAAAGTCAGGTTATATGCACCTTTCAAGGGACTGTGGGAGGGAAAGAACTGACAGCTGCTGGGATGTTTGGATTGGATCACACACACACAGGCGCCCGTGGGAGAATTCACATCCCCTCATTTCTGACGGTTTTTTTAAGTGGAGGTCTTGGGGATTGAACCCAGGACCGTGTGCATGCTAGGCATACTACTGAGCTATACCTTCCCGCCTTGTCCCCTCATTTCTGATTTTGGATGAGATAATTTGAGATTTACTAGTTAGCCTAGAGCTGCTCTGGCTGGTGAGCAGGAGCTGTGGGTTTCTGCAGCAGATCCCTTGTCTGTGTCTCTTTCTGGGCCCCAGACAAGACACATGATGAGGGAGTGGGCTGTGGTGGTAGTGGTCTGGGGTTGGGCTGTGTGTGTGTGTGTGTGTGTAGGTGCGAGCATCTTTCTACCCACTGAGAATACTCTCCAAATCTGGCTCCCAGCCGTGTCATCCCTAGAACCCACCCCATTCCTTCTTCGCCTGCCTTCTGCTCACCACTCACAACTGCTCCCCTCTCCCCATCTCACTTGCCTTAACCACCCTCCCCACCCCAGAGGCCAGTTTCTTTTCCCTCCAACTGTTCACCCCCAACACAGAAATGCAACTGAGAACCTAACTCCCAGAGAGGATCCTTTCTTAAAAAGATGGGTTGCCCGATTTCCTTTGAGCCTGCTGCCATATTTCTTTTCCCCAACCCAGAGGCAAGGACAGGAGCTACTGAACGGGAAGAGGGGAGGCTCTCCTTAAGGACCTGGCCACAGGACAAGAGGGACAGTGCCTGCCCTGTAGAGAACAGCTAGCCAGTCTGGGGTGAGGCTGGCGCGTGCCAGCGTGGGCATGTAGGGGCATGCAAGCAAGTGCAGGAGGAACAGGGGGAGCTCTACATGGGAGCTCAGGAACCCGGGTTCAACTGGTTCGCATTCAACTGTTCATGAGAGTCATTTCCCTCTCTGAGCCTCAGTGGAGTCACCTGGACAATTGGTGGGAAGGATAGAACGAGTAATCTCAAAGTCCCCCTCCAGCTTGATTTCTAAATTGTATGGGGATGGGAATGAATTTGGTTTCCTTGCAATTAGCAGCTTTTTTTTTTTAAGCTACCATTATCAACCGTGTTTTCATGATTACCAACAGCGCTTTTGTAAGGATTTCTTAGCATTTTATGTACATGAATTCATCTACTCACATCAACCCTAGGATGTAGGTACTGTGATCGTCCCTGTATACAGATTAGGAAACCAAGGCGCAGAGAGACTAAGTAATCAGCTCAAGTTGTGCAGCTGACATTCCAACTAGGCGAGTCTGGCTGCAGAGTCCACGTTCCTCCCCACTGCACTCAGCATTCCAGGCGCTGTGCTAAATGTTTGCCAAATCCTCTCCGTTTCGCAGTTGAGAAATCTGAGACTCAGAGCAGTTGAGCAACAGCTGAAGGTCACACAGCTGGGAAGCTGCAGAGATGAGATTCCCGCATCCGCCTCCTGAGTCCCGGCAGATCCTCAGGCCCTCAAAGCAAGTTGCAAAGTCTCTTTAAAAAGCATGTCTGTTCCTCCCTCTGGACCTCAGTTTCCCCAACTAGAGAAGGACTGGGGGTTGGACCCGCTGATCTTTGGGGTCCCTCGTAGCTCTGTGAGTCCATGATTTGAGAGGTGTGGGGCTTCTGGCTAAAAGAGCAGATTTGCAGCCTGGGATTGTAGTAGGGGGTGGAGGAGCGGGGATCAAAGGGCTGGCAATGGAAAGAAGGGGAAAACTGTTGGAGGTGGGGGCCGTGGGGGCCCTGAACCTGGGAAGATGGGGCAGTTGTATGAAGCAGCTGAGAGAAAAGAGAGAGAGAGGCCCTGTGCAGGGCTGGAGGTGGGGTTCCCCAGTGAGTCCCCTCCTTCTTCCCAGGCCACCACCCTTCAAGCTCAGGGTGGGCACATAAGAGCATTGGGCAAGGGAGCAGGAACCAGGCCAGCAGCAAACCGAGGTCAGAACTTCTGGGACACAGCTTTTTGGGGAACGAGCATTGCTGGGGGTTTTGTAAATACTTGGAGATGTCCAGTTATTTTAGAAAAATGTATTTGAAGCTGAGGTGGCGTGTTTGTGTGGTTGGCCTGACTTCCTGTTCACGACAGCTCTGTTACATTCCTCCCCTTCGGGAACAGAGGATTGGAGGCTCGGAGGGTCGTTTTTCCCAACTGCAACCTCACTAGGATGGGCAGACCAGCGGCCCCTGCACCCACACGCACTGGGCATGGTGCCCTCTGGGCCCCCAAGTTGTGCTGGGTCCCCCTCCCGCCCACACACACTCGCAGCCGGACCTATTAATATTTAATACGGCTGTGGGCGCTGCTGCTCCACGCTGACTGCACCCGGGGCCAGCCTCATCCTTGTCTGGGTGCCGACTCCCAGCTGGGAGCCCGGCTGACAAATCTTGCGCAGTACGTCTGCGGAGGAGGGTCAGGTCATGAACTTACGAGATAAAAGAAAGAGTTTCATTGCCAGGCAGGCTCCGTTTTCAACGAGGCTCTTTTCACTTCGGACAATTAATGGAATCACCTTCGGCATGAGTGTCTCAGCTCCCACTGCCCCAGCTCTAGACCTGGAGCTATTGCAGCACCGGGACCCTTCAGACACTTCCTCATACATCACAGGTTGGACTAACCTTCTCCCCTGCTTGGAGAAGTTGGGGTGTGGGCAGACATCAGGGCACCCAGTGGGCCTGTGGTGGGGACAGTGGCTGCTCCTCGATCCCAGACCCTGCATGCTGGGTATACACACTACCAAAGGCCATTGCTGCAATAGTGGCCAGTAGGGAAGTTCAGGGGTGCACCTGCCTCTCAAGCATCCAGTGAAGGGTGCCACCTATCACGTGGATCCTGTCCCAAGCCCCCTTGGTCTGGGATGCCACTGCAGATGGATGCCAGGGAGAGGCCCTCCCTAAACACCAGTTCTGGGAGCCTGAGGGGACTGACCAAGGTTCAGGGGCTCTAGGTCCAGACTGAGCTGGGACAGATGAGCAGGACAGTGTATAAATGTCACTAAAGGTCAGGGAGGATTCCCAACCATAAAGGTTACAGTAACAACTTGGTTCTTTCCAAAGCTCAGCTCAGACCCATGTCTCTGGGTCACCGCTGACCACACAAGCTTGGTTTCTGTCCCATGAGCTTTGGGAGGGTGTTTGCAAGATGGACACCCTGTCCTTCTGCTCCTCCTACCTTTTTCAGCTTCTTGGTTCTTTGTCATCTGAAGGACTCAGGGCAGAGCTCCAGAGACCTCGTCCCTCTGAGCATCTCTGAGAAAGGAAGCCTGGGGGCAAGGAGGGATGTTGGTGTGGTCCAGTGGGGCGTGGGGTTCGCAAAACAAAAACACACTCATTTGCCATTTAACAAAAATTTTTTTCCTTTCTTTTGAAGCTGTTATTTCCTCATGGGAAAACTTTTATTTGTGTATGAGTAAATTGTGCTCTCGTAATTAATTGAAAGCAGAACAGGATGAGAGATTTCTTTTGTCCTGGTGGCAGCCGGCATTGTCACCCACCCCCGGGCCCTAACCTCTCTCCCTGCCTTCTCCTCCCATCCTAGCAGAGCTGAGGCCTGAGAAGGGATGGCCAGACGTCATCCCTGCCCCAGAGCCCTGGCTGGGAAGGTGGCTTTGGCGGGGCCTGGCCTGCAGAAAACACCACACCCTTTCAGCATGGAGAGTAAGCCTATGATGCAAGAGCCAGAGAGGCGGCAGGCGAGGGGCAAGTGTCCTGTTAGGAGACCTGGAGGCTGCGTTTTTGCTGGCTGGGGTGACAGTGGAGAAAGAGAGATGGAGGGAGGGATTCAGAGAGTTAGTCTGACCCATCGGCATTCCCTTCCCCTGCCCAGGTGAGAGGTTGCCCCACTGTCTCTAGTCTTGCAGACAAAGCTTTGCTTTCTGGACGACCTGGCCTCAGATCTTGAATCTCAGTGGGGATGCTTTCCAGGTTAGAAGAAGGTTGGTTCAGAGGACTCGCCAGGCTCCTTCCGCCAGCCACCCTAGCTCTCACCAGCGCTGATCCCTTCACGCCAGGAGGCGTGAATTCTTCCTTGACTTTCACCTTTGCCTTTGAGTTCGGGGACAACGGCCTTGGTTTTGGAGTATTGTCGGATCTGGGGTAGCTCGTCAACCACGTCTCCCCGCAACCGTGCTTGAGGTAGCCAGGGCTGGGGCTCATCTGTCTTCTGTGGCGCAGATTTTTCACCACAAGATAAACTCGAATGGCCAGAACGGCCTTTCCCTCAGCAGCTGTCGGTCCCCGAGTCATCTGCTCCCTGTCCCGACTGGGGGACCCCAGGAGCGGTCCCTCTAGTCCAGGCTGGGGAGCCTCCTATGGGGAGAAGGTGGTGGTGGTCTCGGCCTCCACGCTCATGGAGGACCGCCGGGTGTGCCGGCACGAGGACCACTGCCGGAGCTGCTCCTGGCTCAGGCAGCCCAAGTCCTTGAAGAGCTTGAAGAGGTCGCTGCGGAACTTGACGCCAATGAAGGCGTACAGGAAAGGGTTGATGCAGCAGCGGACGCAGGCCAGGCTGTAGGTGATGTCGTAGGCGATGTTGAGCTGCTTGCTGAGCTCGCAGCTGGTGCCGCTGGTGATGTTGAAGTTGGCCACTGTCTGGGCCAGGACCACCCCGTTGTAGGGCAGCTGGAAGGCTATGAAGACCACGACCACGGCAATGATCACCTTGATGGCCTTGTTGCGCTCGAAATTGCGCGCCTGGAGCAGGGTGCGGATGATGACGAGGTAGCAGAAGCTCATGGCCAGCAGGGGGATCAGAAAGCCCACCACCATCTGGGCCACCTGGATGGTGATCAAGGCCTCCACGCGCTCGGTGATGAGGGAGCAGCGCAGCGCCTGCTCGCTGCTGCTCTTCTGGATGCCGCTGTACAGCAGCTCCGGGGTGGAGAGGACCACGGCCACCATCCAGATGCCCACGCAGGAGAGTTTGCTGATGAGCAGGACACGGGCGCGGTGGCGGTGGGCCGAGACGGCCTGGACGATGGCGACATAACGGTCAATGCTGATGCAAAGAAGCAGGAGCATGCCGCTGAAGAAGCTTATCTTGTAGATGCCAAAGATGAGCTTGCAAATGCTGATCCCAAAGACCCAGGACTTGGCTGCGCTGTATGCCCAGAAGGGAAGGGTCAGGAGGAAGAGGATGTCTGCCACGGCCAGGTTGAGCAGGTAGGTATCGGTCATGGTCTTAAGCCTCTTGAAATAGATGTAGGTCAGCATGACCAGCCCATTGCCCAGCAGGCCCACGAAGCAAATGATGGCGTACATGACCGGGAGGAACCAGGCCTTAAAGTTCCGCACATCCTTCTTGAAGCACACGGACTCGTACAGCGTGTAGTCCACTGTGGTGTTTTCGCCGAGGTAATCATCAGTGACCTCATCCTGACACAGGCACACCTGCGGGGAAGGATGCAACTTAGTGAAGTGGGTCAAAATTTTGCTCCCTTTGAAACCCTGTGATCACTCAGAGCGGTGGTTTTCTAGAATAAATATTTTATTTTTATTGATGGTGGGGAGATAATTAGGTCTATTTATTTATTTTTAGAGGAGGTACTGGGGATTGAACCCAGGACCTTGTGCATGCTAAGCATGCACGCTACCACTTGAGCTACATGCTCCCCACTCCAAGAGCAGTGGGGTCAGCATCGTGAATTCTCAGACCCCACCAAACCAGCACCTCGGGGGCAGGACCCAGGAATTTGCTTTTCTAAACTTTCCGGATGAGCCTTTGGTTTGCAGTTGGTGCTTCTCAAATTGTAACATGCACAAGAATTGCTCTGGGATTTTGTTAAAATGATTTCGTAGGTGGTGGAGGAGCCTGGGACTCTGCATTTGTAATAAGTAGCCAGGATCTGATTTTGCTGACTCTGAGGAACTTGACCCTACAGGTGTTGACTGACAGTGGCCTGGAAATAGTCTGGGCTTTGGGATCAAATGAACCTGTGGCCCAGCTGAATGCACTTCATCGCTCCAAGCCTCAGTTTTCTCAGCTGTGAAATGGAGATAAATACTATCTCCTCCACATGGCTGTTGTGAGATTCATACCAGATTCTGGCACCGTTCTGTCTCTGAGGAGTTTTATTTTGTCCTCTGGAAACTCCAGGAGAGTGGCAACATGTGTCTTTTTTTTCTGACTCTCCTTTGGAACCTGGTGGGAAGGACTTTCTGGGGAGGGACGCCTACAAAAATATCTCAGCTTTTGAGGGAAAAGCCACCTTGGGCTAAGGTTGAGGAGGGCCTGGAGTGACAAGAGAGGAAGGCAAAACTCCGTTAAGAGCCCACAAAGCCCTGGTTTAGGGCAAGCTGCCATGATCATGGGTGGTGAGCGGCTTGAAGACCTGTGGATTTCTGGGACCTGGGGCACAGCGCCCGGCATGCGAGCCCAGGTGCACTGAACTCCACGAGTGTTGCAGGAGTGGATGGCGGAGCCGCAGCCTCAGCTGTGACTGCGTCCTCTCCCGGGAAAGAAGTACAGTCCCGGCTCCACGCTCCCTCTGTGCTCCAAACCCTCTCCCCCCACCTCTCTCCTCTCTCTTCCTCACTGTCTCTTTCGGTGGTGGCGGATCCCAATCAGCAGGGCTCAGCTGCGCAGGGCTTTTTTTAGCCTATCTGCAGGGCAGGGGGAAGGTTCAGGCAGCCTGCTGTGATTTTATCACTGAAGGAGGGCACAGGCGATAGCTGAGCTGTGTGAGCTGTGCAGGGCTGGGAGCCAGGCTGGAAGACGGCTTCAGGAAGCTCCTGGTCCCTCCTCTGGGAATTGGGCCCTGGGCAGCTCAACATAATGGGTTTTCATATAATTGGGGAGCTGGGGGGACTTTAGAGATGAGGAAAGCGGGGCTCTCAGAGAAGTGATGCAGCTCGTTCAAGGTTACTAAGCCAGAAGTAGAATCTAGCATCCCAACTTCCCTGCATCCTGTCTCTTTCTCATTTCCAAACTCTTCTGCCTGGGGATAGGGTGAGGACGAAATCATGTCCAGGACCCTTTGGTGGGAGGGGAGGGCATTGCTATCCCAAGAAGAAAAGTCATGTTAACCCCTTTTCCCTTGTCCAGGCAGGACCACAGCCTGGGAGTCCTGGAAGAGGCTGGCTGCCTTTCGTTGCCCAGGATAACGCCCAAGGTCTGGGGCCCCTGGATATAAGGGGATTCTGGCGCTGAGGGGCAATACACCCAGCCTCTATGAAGTGTGCTTCCCACCACTCCATCCTGCCTTCTCTTTCCCTCCTTCGCACCCGCCTCCTGCACCAGGGGCTACCAGGCTTGAAGTTTCTGCAGCCCACAGCCCTACCACATCCTGCCCCATCTGAGCCACCCCCATCTCGTCAGTAAAGAGAAGGATGAACCCAGCTGTCCCTCATCCCCTTCCCAGGCTCCCAGCCTCCACTGCCAGCAGTACCGCCCCTCTGGAGGCCTAGAAACATGGGAGGGAGTGGTGATGGGGAAGGGGGCCAGCCTGTGGGCTACAGCCCAAGCTCCAGGGGGCCTCTGGGATGGGGTTTTGGGAACAATGCCCAGCTTGGGGCCTGCCTCTGGCCGGAGATCCTGGAAAGCAGCCCCTCTGGCCTCCAGAACTGGAGAAGAGCCAAATTCCAAAGCACTGCCTCTCCAGCTCCGGCTTCAGTTGCCCCCTCCTTGTCCAAGAGAGCTCCCACCCCCAACAAATCAGGAGAGTCGACTCCATGGGTTAGTTTCTTCTAACTCTGGCATTTGGTGGGGGCAGATTTTCTGTCTCCACTTCTGGGATTGAGAAGCTGAAACCTGTAAACTGGAGGCGTTTGCTCCTACAGAGTTCTGAGCTCCTATAAAGGATGTGCTCCATCTCTCCTCCCCTCCTCCCCTCCTCCAGAGTTGAGGGTCCCATCCTACTCCGCACCCCCCACCCAGTGAGGCTCAGCCAGGTTTGTTTATGTCACAAAAGGAAGCTGGAGCTTTGAGGGAAACCTTGGGCTGGAGGTTGGGGGACAGTTTGGGGTCGATACGGTGGTAACCAGCCACCAGACCACACATTCTTTTCCCAGCTCACGTATGAAGATTTACACGCATGTGTGTGCACACACATGTGCAAAACCCAGTAACCTCACAATCTTTGCTTTTTTCAGCTCCTCTCTCCCCAAGAACTCAAGTGGAGTCCTCCTTTCTGTCTCCTGGATGGGGATACTGGAAGCGGGGTGGGGAAGGTGGGGTGACTTGCTTTCCCCCATGTTTTAATTTAAATAGAGTAAAGGAATTTCAGAGAACATCTGTGGCTTTCTAGGGTCACTCAGCAGATGGAAAGGGGTGGCCTTAACTTAATAAATGGCAAATTTGTGTCTGGGCCTATTTCTTTCCAGCAAATGCCCAGCAACTCCCCCAGAACTTTGGGTTTGGGCTTGAGAAGGACTGGGCTTGGAGAGGGGGCGTGGGGGAGGGGCTGGAGCTGTCCTTGGCGGGAGACCTCACCTGGAAAATGACGAGGAGAGCCACCACCAGCACGCTTTTCATTGGCTTCCCTACAGGAGACAAGGTGAGAAAGTTATTGCTTGGCAGGGACGGCTCTTTGTTCTGGGGGGAGAAAAAAAGCCACGGAGACAGGGAGACTGTAGGGAAGTTTCATCACGGGCTCCAGACACTGCCTTTGCCGAAACAGAACATCAGAATCAGACTGTGCCTTGGAGCACTTGGCTGGCTGCCCAGACTCACTGCCCTCACCTCCTCGTCCTCCTCCAGGGAGATGTCCTGGGAAGGAGCGGGATGGGAGTGCAGGGCAGCCCTACTCCTTCCTTGGCTCTTCAGGGCCTCTTCTGGAGTTGGAAAGCCCACCCTGGCCCAGACCACCCCTCAAGGCCGAGCTTCAGCTGACCTTGACTCCCGCGTCTGAGCATCCCCCTCCAGCTCCATGTTATGCAGGAAGTAATGTGGTGGCACGAGTGCATGCGTGCGTGCGTGCATGCGTGTGTGTGTCCTGTGCTGCTCTGGTGCCAGGAGCCCATGGGGAGCACTTCCCCCTTGCCCAGGTGAGTGGATGGCCACATTTGAAGCCCCGAGTGTTTTCTGAAGGAGGCCGACAGACGACAGAAAGTGATTTCACAAGGCTGGGAGGAGCAGTGTCACTTACTGACCTCTCAAGGGCAGATGGGAAAGTTCTTCCGCACCACAGAGCTCCCCAACAGCCCCGCGTCCAACTGACATCCATCCAGCGCGGACTGCGGGGTTCACCCGGCCCACCTCCCCACCTGGCCTTTGGGACAGAAACCTCTTCCCTTTTACCCAGGGCAGGCTCCGCATTGAGATGGCACGCAGAACTGTGCTACTGAATGAATGAATGAATGAGTGTCCTGCCTGCCCTTCTCCCAAGGTGCCCTGGGGGGACCCTGCCCCGTGGCAGGCAGTGTGGCGGGTGGAGAGTGTTCCCTGAGGTACCTACTTTTTTTTTTTTTTTGGCTTGACTGAAGCATGTGAATGTTTTCTCTTCTTTAACTTGCTTCTAACACAGGGCCTTGGGAGGCGGGGGAAAGGGAAACACGGTGGGCTGGGGCCTTGCCTGGCTTGCCCAGAGTCGGGTCAGAGCCTGGGTACTTTCTGGAAGGCAGGAGGCTCTCCTTGGGCCTGAACCAGGTTCGCACCAGGCCTTACAGGCTGCAAACAGGACGAGCGCTGACTGCTTAGTCCTGCTTTGTGGCTGAGCTGAGGGCTGGACCTGGAACTTATTTCCTCCAAAGTCTGAGCCCTGGGTAATTTATACAGGAGTTGCATCTCACTTAACAGCCTGGAAGCTGTGCCCTCTTCACCTTCAGATCCCCCTTCCTGTGACCTGACCCTCAGTTCCCAGCCAGGCCCACAGGAGAGAGTCAGTAGCTGTTGATGCCACGAATGAAGACAAGTCAGGACTTGCTGGCCCGTTGCACCTCCAGGCTCAGTAGGGTTCGTGGAGAAATTTTTGCGATCCTGCTTCTAGCACCTTCTGGAGGCTGGGGGCCCACTCCAGCAAGCAAGGGGCTCTTTTTCCCAAGAGACAGCAGCCCAGACCCAGAGAGTCTGTGTGCTTGGCCACAGCACCACCTGCTGGAAATTTCGTGGCATGACACAAAAGTTGCAGTTGTGCTCCAGGAGTGTGCCTAAGGCAGGGATTCTGGGCTTGGGGGACCCGGGGACAGGAGGAAAGGCGTTGAGCCACATAAAGAAACTGGCATTTCCCCCAAATTAAACTGTACACTACTGCTAAACATGTCTTCTTAAAGCATAGTTCTGATGCCAACCTCCACTGCGCCCTCCTCCTAAATCCTTAGGACCTCTCTACCTGCCGTGAGGTTGATGTCTTAGGGACAGCAATCAATCCCTCCACTGTCCACTTAAGCCTGCCTTCCTAGCCATGTCTTCTGTTCCTGGGGACAGGCACCTATTCTCCCGTCGTCCCCGGGATTTGCGGTCCTGGGTGGGAATGGATTTCTCTGCAACATCATGGCTCCCTTCTCTCATCCCCCTTCCTTGGTGAATTATCCCGTGACCCCTGAGCTTGAGTCCACATCTCTGCCTTCAAAAACACTCTCTTCAGGGTCCAATGCACTGCCCTTCCTCCACTGACTCATCTTGATGTGAAGCGCTCGAGGTTTCTTTAAGCACGTACAAGTCTTTCGGTTACTCTAGAGAAAGCCTGATCTGACTGTCAGTGAGAACTGAGAAACCTCAAAGTTTTGATGTCATAATGGGTGAAATACGAGGAGCAAGAGTTGTGTTTCTATTTTACTCCTTCAACCCCCTCTCCTGGGCCCCGTCTCAGTGCTTTTGCCACTGGCTGGGGGAGGGGAGAGGGGTGGGGGCTGGTGTGTGTTTGTGTGGAGGTGATGTCTCATTCCAGGTGTGTTGGAGCTGGTGGATGAGCAGAGATCTTCTACGATCAGAAAAGGCCATTTTCAAGCAAGGTGACCAAACAGCAACTTCGGGGAACTCTGGTGTGTGGCAGAGGGGACTAGGTCAACGGCCTTGACTCAAATTATTTCTGTCTGTTACAAAGTCATAAAGCAACTGGCCTTGGCTGGCAACTTGGGTGGGTCCAGAGAGGTTGGGAATCACAGAGTTTGAGGAGCGGTTGACTTATGTGTCGGGTATTTTCAGAGTTCTTGAGTTTCTAGTAATCATCACAACGAAAAGGAAATTCCCTAGAACTCCAACCGTAGCTCCCAGCTAGAGAAACTAGAGACTGGTGACTTTCTCAGAGTCATAGAACTGGCCAGGAGTGGAGCTGGGCTTTGAATCCATCCTTCAGAAGCCATACTCCTAACAGCTCATCTGTGCTTCCTCTCAGGCTGTATGTACCCCTCCCTCAAAACATCCTGTGAGTTACCCCCATTCTGTCTTCCAGAAAATAGAGATCCAGAGAGATTAAGCCACGCATTTGGGGTCACACATCTGCCAAGAGATGGACCTGAGATTTGAATGGAACTCTCACTACATCATTTCTGATGAGCCTGCGGTGTAGAGGGATCTCTGTGGGACATAAAGGGGATCCTTGCTCTCCCCTGTCCCACTGGTTACCCAATTCTGTTGCTTCTGCCCCCTAATATCTCAGAGCTGGCCCTACCTCTACCCTGACATAAGGCTTTGCTGCCATAGAGCTCCTCTGAAACAAAAATTACGTCCTTTAACCCACCTAACTGAAAAAAGAAAAATCTTCCCCGGCTCCCCATTGCTTTCAGGAAAAAGTGCCAACTTCTGAGCAATGCCACCTGGAATCTTAAAGATGGGCCCTGCCTGTCCCTCTTGCCTCCCTGTCTCCCTTCCTCCTTGGCACAGCCAGGTTCTTTATACTGTCCTCAACTTGCTTCTTTCTTATCTCTGTTAGCTTTTGTCAGAGCAGACCAGCTGGGAGCCTGCAGGCTGAGTCCCTGAGAAATTCTGCTTGGCTATATGGAATTTGCAAAAAATTGGATTTGGATGCCTTTAGGTGGGGCTTCTGCTCTCTGAATCACAACATTCACCTCCACTTACTACATCTTACGCCCATTCTCTTATTTACATCATTTGTTTCTGATGGCAATCAAGTTTGCTATCCCTGCCATATCCTGGGCCCCTTGCTTCTCCTGTTCTGGTTTGATAACTTCTACATACCCTTCAAAACCCAACTTAAATGCTCCCCAACTCATGTTCACTGTTCGTTTCTTTGAGTTTCACAACAGCCCTGTTTTTACCCCATCAGCGCTGTCTTTCCCTCTGTTGTAGTGTCTTTTTTGACATAGGTGTCTCTTCCCCCTCCCAGGCTGGTCACACCTGAATTCCCCCAGCAATGGCAGTTGACTGAAAAAAAGTACCAAGCAAAGAGGAGAGACTTTCCAACAGCTCCCAAGGCTTCAGGATTTCCCTCCTTCCCAGCCAGGCTCCCCATAGGCCTGGAGGGATTGGCCCTGAATTCCTTCAGCATCCCTTTCTGCCACCATCTCTGGCCAAGCTATGAGAGATGAGTATTCACAGGCTTATTTTTCTCTTCCGTGCTTTGGAAAATTCTAACTGAGGCGTTAGGCCCCATTTCTTGAAGGTGGGGAAGGCATCTGGGGCTGCTCATTCAAATCGTGAAAAAGACCAGCTCAGCCCTGGTTCAGCGGTGTTTTTCATTTTGTGTAACAGAAACTCTGCCGCTCACCTGCCTTGGGCTCCCCGCCAGGCTGACGAAGAGAGAGAAACAGATCCTCGGTGGCCCGCCCGCCCTCCCAACGGCCCAGAGCCCGGGAGCCTGAGCTGAGCAGTGTCTCAGTGGCTTCCCTCCTACCACTGTTTGAGGCTCGGCCGTTGGGGCTCTCGAGTTGAGTGAAGCAGAAAGAACATCCCTTTCTCCTGGACCAGAGGTTTCTTACATTAAAGGGACCTCCCTCTCTGCATGAAAGCCTGTGGGTCTGGCACCCCCAACCCTGCTCCTGGGAGGAAGACCCTCTGGGCTGTGCTGGGACTGCTCTCACAATCAAGACAGTGGTGGACACCTCTCTCTGACCTTATATTCTGTCATTTTATGGCTTGAAATCAACTAAAGGCTTGAAATCAGCTATGGTGAGAGAATGTACACTATGGAAATTGGCAAGTACTACAAATCAGAGTCCACGCTGGGGGAGCTGGTTCTCCAGGCTTTCCCAGCACAGCATGGGGACATGCTTGGCTTCCTTCACAGAGATCAAACTGAGAGGCAGGAGCGGGATCTCCAGGGCATGGCATCTACATTCTGAGACCATGGTCAGTGGGGGTGGACATCTAGGGAGTGGGATTAGCGAGCAGGCTGCTGGGAAAAGGGGGATGTTGGAAGAGAGTCTTAAAAACTAAAATCAGAGTGCTTGATGCCATTCATTCATTCATTCTACACACGTTTTCTGCTCACACCCCCGAAGCACCTAGGAATCAGAGGTGGAGAATCAGACCCTGCCTTCCAGGAGTTTGCAGTTGGTGACTGGGACCACTGTTTGTTTGTTGGTTCCACCCAGGGTTCTGGGTGGGTGGAAAAAGCAGGCATGAAGGCAAGAGGCTGTGGTGTGGTGGGAAGGAGTGTGAGGACAGCACAGGGTGCATGGGGAACCTTCACTTTTTAAAGCCAACCCCTTGCGGCTTTGAGGCCGCTGTGGTGCTTTACTTGCTGGTGAGAACGAGCCATCCAGGAACCTGGCCTTTGTAGCCTCAACCTGGTCTGACTCTTCAGCTGAGATTTATAAACCAGGTGTCCCGGGCTGGACGAACCCACCCCAGAACCCGCTCTGGGCTTCCCCTGGACTCCCTCTGGTTAAGATCGAAGTTAGACCTGGGGACGGGCTTTTTAAAGGGAGGGGTCATCTCTCTGGGTAGAAAAGTAAATGAGGCTGGGGGACTGAGCTGGAGGCCCTGGCTATAATCTCTCCCAGCTGAATTCCCCTTGTGGTCTCCTTTCACGTCGCCCACCCATCCTTGAACCTGCAAAGGGCAACGGCTTGCCTGTGGGATGGGCAGCAGTGAGAATACAACCACAGATTGCATAGTATTGTATAGTGCAATTTACACAGTGCACTCACCTTTAATTTAAGGTGGGCATCAAAGGGGCAGTGGAGGGGCCCGAGTTCCCCCCAGGGAGAATTTCCCCTGATTGTTTCATCCCAGAGAGCCTCACCCATCACCCCAGGCTGAGACAGAACAGGTGCTGTCCAGATCACCACCAACCCCAGCCCTGCTGCCTTCGGTAGTCCCTACTGTTTTGAAAGATACCACCCCCTTGTCTTTCCTGGTACTTGCTCCCGCAGGTCTGAAAGGTGAACCCTCCTTGCGTGGGAGAACAGAGTGGCACTCCCTGGGAGCAGCCACCGATTCCCACCAAAGTTCCACCTGCTTTCTCCGGGAGGTTCCCCCATGCCTTCCAGCCCCATCCTCCACGCCCATTCCACTGTCAGTCCAGGTGTCCGAGGGACCCCAGTAACTGCTCTTCCTCACACAGGGGAGGCTCACTTACCCAGGTCCATGACGCTCTCGGTGGGTGAAACCACACAGGAAGGTTGTGCTGGGCCTCTGTCTGGGGAGGAAGTGGCATGAGCCGCTTTTAAGCTGTGAGAGGAGACACCCTCTTCCCTGCCCCTCCCACCCTGGCTCCTCCCTCCAATCTGGCCTCACTCATGGTCTGGACTCAGGTGCCATCTGGAACCAAGGGGTGTGAGGGGTGTGAGAAAGTGACAGAGAGTGACGGCCCACTCACTGGTCATAGGATCATGAATCATTGGGTTATTTGCATTCAAAAAGCCCCCATGTAGGTCTTCAAGCCCAAACTGGGGGCCTAGCCCAAGGCAGGGGAGTAGGGTCAGTTCATTGATTCAATGAATGCTGACTCACAGACAGAAAACAAACGTATGGTTACCAGGAGGGAAAGGGGGTGAGAAGGGACAAATTGGGAGTTTGAGATTTGCAGATACTAACTATAACTAGATAACAAGTCTCTACTGTAGAGCACAGGGAACTCTATTCAATATCTTGTAGTAACCTATAATGAAAAAGAATACGAAAAGGAATATGTGTATGTATGTATATGATTGACTGAAACATTATGCTATACACCAGAAAGCGACACAACATTGTAAACTGACTAACTTCAATTAAAAAAAAAATTTAAAAACCACACAGAAAACCCCCAAATGTTTATAGCCTGAATACCACGTGCCAAAGAGTCAGAGATGGGAGATGTGTCTCTGTCCTTCTCTAGACTTGTTCAATGTCACAAGGGACTACATTTCCCAAAATACTTTGCTGTCTGGCTTTGGGTAGTTCTGGCCAATGGGAGGCACTGACAAATGATGGATAGTCGAAGGGGAGGGATTCCAGGATGTCTCTTTTCTTTTTTTTCTCTTTTCTTTTCTTTTTTCCTTTCCTTTTCTTTTCTCTTCCCTCTCCTCCCGTCTTCTCTTCCTTTCTTTTCTTAATGATAGTTTTATTTAGCTATAAGTCACAAATGAATTTACTCTTTTAAAGTGTACTAGTCAATTTTTTTTTGTATATTCACAGAGTTGTGCAACCATCACCACAATCAATTTCAGAACGTTTTAAATCACCTCCCTCTGTTACCTCCCCCATACTCTTTAGCAATGACTCCCTATGTCCTTCCCCACACCCCAACCCTTTCTGTCTAATTTCTGTCTTTATAGATTTGCCCATTCTGGACATTTCACATACATGAAGTATAATTCTTTATACAATGTATGGCCTTTATGTTTCTGGTTTCTTTCACACTTACATAGTGTTTTCAGGGTGCGTACATGTTACAGCACGTGTCATTTCCTCATTCTTTTTTATGGTCCAATAATATTCCATTGTATGGATGTACCACATTTATTTATCCACCAGCAGTTGGACATTTGTGTTGTTTCCATTTTTTGGCTATTTTGAATAACGCTGCTAGGAACATTCATGCACAAGTTTTTGTGTGGACATATACTTTTGTTTCTCTAGGATATGTGCCCAGGAGTGAAATTGCTGGGTTATATGGTAATTAGATGTTTAACATTTTGAGGAACTATCGAAATTTTCCCAAAGTAGCCTCACCATTTTACATTCCCATCAGCAATGTATGAAGGTTCTATGTCCTTGACAAAACTTGTTATTGTCCATCTTTCTGATTCTCACCATCCTAGTGGGTGTGGTTTTGATTTGCCTTATCCTAATGACTGATGATGTTGATAACTTTTTCATGTGCTTATTGACCATATGTAAATTTTCTTTGGAGAAATGTCTATTCAAATCCTTTGCCCATTTTTAAATTGGCTTATTTGGTTTTTATTGTTGAGTAGTAAGATTTCTTTATGTATTCTGGATAAAAGTCCTTTATCAGATATATGATTTGTATATATTTTCTCCCATTCTGTGAACTGTCTTTACTTTCTTGATGGTGTCCTCTGAAGCACAAAACTTTAAAATGTTGAGGTCAAATTATTTTTCTTTTCTTACTTCTGCTTTTCGTGTTGCCTAATTCAAGTTCATGAAAATTTATTTTTTTTCCAAGAGTTTTATAGTTTTAGCCCTGACATTTAGTTCTGAGTCATTTGGAGTTAACTTTTGTGTATTATGCATATTCCTTTTTATTCCTAGTTTGTTGGATTTTGTTAAATCCCTTTTCTGTGTCCATTGAGATGATCATTTTTTTGGTCCTTTGTTCTATTAAATATAGTGCGTTACAGAGATTGGTTTTTGTATGTTGAACCAACTTTGAATTCTTGTGGTAAATCACTTGGTCATGATGTATAATCTTTTTTTAAATGTTGCTGGATTTGGTGAAGATTTTTGTTAAGGATTTTTGCATCTAGATTTAGTGGGAATATTGGTCTCTAGTTTTTTTTTTATGATGTATTTTTGTGGTTTTGGTATCAGGGTAAGTCTAGTTGAAGTTCTGTCAATTTTGCTGATCTTTTCAAAGTAACAACTTTTGGTTTTATTGACTTTCTCTATTTTTGCCTATTCTATATTTCATTTATTTCCATTCTAGTTTTTGTTATTTCCTTCCTTCTTTTTGATTTAGGCTTAGTTAGCTCTTCTTGTTCTGATTTATTAAGGTCTTTTTCTTTTTATTAAGGATTTGAGATCTTTCTTCTTTTTCCTAATATAGGCATTTACAGCTGTAAATTTCTCACTAAGCTGCTTTAGCTGCATCCCATAGGTTTTGATATTTTGTGTTTTCATTTTCATTCATCTCAAAGTATTTTCCAATTTCCCTTGTGAATTCTTTTTTCAACCCCTTGATAATTTAGGAGTGTGTAGGTAAATTTCTACATATCTGTGAATTATTCAGATTTCCTTTTGTTATTGACTGTGGTCAGAGAATATACTTTGTATGATCTCAGTTCTTGAAATTATTGAAAGTAGGGTATTGAAGTCTCTGACTGTGATTGTTGAATTGTGTATTTCTCCTATTTCTCCTTTCAATTCTATCAACGTTTGTTTCATGTGTTTTTGGTCTCTGTTGTTTGGAGACCATATATGTTGTTTGCATGTATGTTTATTCATTATGTCTTCTGGATGGATTGACCCTTTTATCATTATAAAATATCTTTTGTCTCTATGAACAATTTTTATCTTAAAGTCTGTTTTCTCTGATATTAGTATAGCCTTTCTAACTTTTGGGGGGTTACTGTTTGCATATTTTTTTCCATCACTAGGATATTTCTTTCCACCCTTTACTTCCAGGGGCATCCCCAGCAATGGCTATGTGTTTTTGATGCCAGAGTCCATCAGCCAGACCCTACCTCTGTGGTGCCAGCACCTGTGAGTAATCCCTCCCTTGGCTCCAGCTAGTTTCTCTTCCTAGTTTCTGGGCTCTGGTAACACTACTTTCTCCCTGTGTCTCTCCAGCTTTAGGGATGATGGCAACTTTCTGCTGTTATTAATTTCTGGGTGGCCTCACCATCCCTTGTTTCCTTCTCAGCTCTTCTATCACCTGTATAACTGGCTCCCTATGTTAAATTTCTTTCATCTGAAATACATAGAGTGGGTCTTTTTTGCTTCAGCCCTGACTGATATAAGGTGATTCCTATTCTCAAGGAGTTTAAGGTATACTAGTCCCCTTTTATCCATGGTTTTGCTTTCTGTGGTTGCAGTTATCTGTGGTCAACCATGGTCTGAAGATATTAAGTGGAAAATTCCAGAAATAAACAATTTATTATTTTTAAATTGTATACTGTTCTGAGTATCATGATGAAATCTCACACCGTCCTGCTCCATCCCACTTGGGATTCCCAACCATTGATATCCTCATGGCTTGATGATCCAGGATCACCTGAAGCAGATGATTCTCCTGACGAATCGTCAGAAAGTCATCAGAATTAGCCTAATGTTATGTTACAAGGCTCATGTCACTCACCTCACTTCATCTCTTCATGTGGGCATTTCATCATCTCACATCATCACAAGAAGAAGAGGGCTAAGTACACTATAATAAGATATTTGGAGAGAGAAGGAGGGAGGGATGGAGAGAGAGAACATTCACATAACTTTTATTATAGTATATCGCTGTAACTGTTCTTTTGTTAGTTGTTTTTGTTGATCTCTTACCATGCCTAAGTTATACATTAAACTTTATCACAGGTGTGTATGTATAGGAAAAGACATAGCATATGCGATCTATGGAGTTTGGTAATATCTGTGGTTTTAGGCATCCAATGGGTCTTGGAATGTATCCCCCACAAATAAGGTGGGATTACTGTGCAGAAGAAGTTCAGGCTAGATTGCACCCCTGTTGCCTACAGTTATGACCAAGGCCAAGCACAACATGATACTTCACCTAAAACAAGAGAAGGAAATCCACAATTGAATAGCGCTGGAAGAGAAACAGACAAGTAGATAGAATAGCTCTTCTTCACCCCAGAGATACGTAGAACTTTCAGTTGAGATGTAGTGTGGGGAGCCTAGCTCTTCACCACTCCCTGTGTGGTCCTGGGTAAGTTGCTTCCCCTCTCTGGGCTGGAGCTTTTGCAAATGTAAAGTGAGGGTACTGGACTGCCTAGGAGATAAGATATCTAAGCTTTGGCATCTGATATTCTGAAGTGCAGAGCTTTCTTGTGGCACCCTGCCCATTGCTTAAGCACTCTCTATTATTCCAGATTCCCTCAATGGAGGCATGAGACGCCCCCAATGAATTGGAACTCTCCTTCCCTTCTGAAGGTTTTGGCAGCTCCCAACATTGGCTTTTTGGGATATAGGCAATTTCTTGAACTAGGTGGAAAAGACTCTGAGATTACATCTGGGCAGTGTGTTGGAAAGGAAGGGCAGGGCAATTTCAGTTTGGAACTATTTCAGAAGCTTCCTCCTGAACCCTTTCCCATATACCAGATGCTTCTAAGAAAAATTGAACTTAAATATAGAAGGCCTGTGTTCCAGTCTTGCCTCTGCTATAACTTACCATGTGACCTTGGCAAATCAGCTATTCTCCCTGGTTCTTTGTTGCCCATCTGAAAAGTAAAGACATTGGACCCCATAAACTCCAGCCTCCCTTCTCAGGATAATCCTTATTATCCTTAGGGATTTTCTCAGTTCTTCAGCTAGGATAGCCCTGAAGGTCTCAGATATAGAGGGGCCACAGTATACAGGGCAGAACTGGAGAGCTTTGTGGTAGATGCCCCATGTCCTTAGGGGATGAAGGCTCCTCC